CGAAGGGCATTTCGTGAAAAATGCGTGACACGCAAGCTATGTTTTTAATTAAATCGAATAAAATTTACTGTGACAAGAACGTATTTATTATAAAAGTTTGTAGAAATGAAAAAGTGAAAATATACTAGGCTTATAATAGGACATTATTTCTTTATTCAGTTCTAGGCTACACTTTTTCAAAACGTTCTCTCTCCGAGACAAATTTTATTCGATATAGTATGTTATATATTTTTAATAAAATTTTTCCTCGGAGAGAGTGTTTTGGAGTAACATAGATTTTTAACTAATATGGCGAATGATCATATGAGTGGAAACTGTTATAAATTATTGGGAATTATCGAAGATGTAAAAAATATATTAAAAATATAAAAGTTTATATTAGAAATAAAAAGCAGAATTTGTTGAATCATTTAAAAGTTATTTATTAAAGCCTTGTGTCTATGATGCTAGAAATCGATCTGAGATCTCGGATGGAAAAAAAATTGATCAATCGCAGTAATTTTTTCGACCATTTAATATGATCGATCGATTTTTTTATTGGTCCACTTTCGGATTCTATTCGATTTCTAACATCACTAGCTTCACACATTTATTTCAGTCAATCGACCAATCGTCGATTAATTGATCGAAATAGCCATAGAGATTGGTCAATTTTTTCTCCATCCAAAATCTTGGATCGATTTCTAGCATCATGAATATAAGCTTTTAACAAATTCTGCTTTTCTACATTCTGTTTGTCTTGCTCCAAATTAATGGTGAGAATGGTTAGAGAATCGACGAAAGCTGGCATGCTAAAACCATATAGAGGGTATAGGCTGACACACATACTAGCATAAGCCCATGCTGTGCTATCCTGCGCATGCGTGAAACTACATACACTAACTTCACGCATGCGCGGATGTATACTGACGTGCTCAGTTAGTGTGTGTTCCAATCTATACCCTCTATATGCTTTGAACATAGCAACTTCGTCTTTATTCTTGATGTAAACATGTTTTCCCATATTGTGTTTTCTGAAATTGGACCGAGCCGAAATTGGACTACTTCTGACAATTTTTGAAGAAGGCGTGTTGTTACTTCTCTTATTTGAGAGCAATAATAAATAATGATATAACGAGGTAATTTATATATTTTTTTATCATTAAAATATTATCATTAAAATATTTATCGTTAACATTTTTTCCGAAAAGTATATTCATGAAAATTGTGATATTATTTGTTATCTCGAAGTTTCGTTTCTGGAAGTTTCTACTTCGATGTAGATGGCGTTTTGCTGGCGCCCGGCACAAAGCGCCAGCTTTTGGCACCGCGCTACATTCCTGCTATCCTTGTGAAAGCGCAAGGCGCATATCGGAATCGGACGCGCCGTTCAGCCTTCGACACCGTTTCGGTGTGTCGAATCTCCTTAACGAGTGGCATGCACTCGGTTCTTCGTGTACGGTGGTGAGACCGCGTACGAGAAAAAAAAAGGTCTGTTATTTCCGCGTGTGATTCGCCGCTCGAACTTCGGTGGTGGTCCGGTGTTGTACGGTGTTGCTCGGTGTTGCTGCGTACGTTTTTTTTCCGCATAATCCGGACGGATAGTCGTTAACGTGACGTACGGATCGTCGCGTCACGACCCAATGAGAGTGGCGCGAGTCGGCTGATAAGTAGCCTCGTAGAGATGGAGATGGGCTGGGAACAGAAATTCGTACGTATTCGTGTCGAGTGCCGCGGGGAGTGTCGCTCTCTCGAAGCAGGTCAGTACGTTCGTTTGTGATTCATCGGGCTTGCCGGGCACAGCGAAAAGTGTGTGTGGACGATGTGAGATCTGTGCGCGCGGTTACTCTAATGCCTCGCGAGTTTGTCTGATCCGTTCCGAGTTCGCATCGTGGAGCCTTAGAACATGCTGGTAAGTAAACGGACGGGAGGAACGTAGGGGCGACAGCGACAGCGGTAGCGAGACGATAACTAGGAGAGCTCGCGTATTTCGTTCTGTTCCGTGCATGTGGCATACGTGCCGTCCTTCATGCATCTCCCTTCGTATTTTCCGTTATGTACGCGCCGCGTTCGCGCTTCTTCCACTTCTCCCCACATCGTTCTCACCGCTTCACTTCCTCTCGTCCCTCTTTCCCTCTTTTCACGCTCACACCGCGACACACGACACCTCCCCCCCTCTTCCTCTTCTCCTTCCCTCCCCCTTTCTCTCTTTCTCTTTCTTTTTTTGTCTTGGAGATGAATCTGGTGCGAGTGCTTCTCTAACTGACGCAACGCTGTCACTCGTGGGCGGGAGAGACGTACTTAGCAAATTCTGGAAAATTTTATTTTTCCTCTTCTCTCACTCGTGGACGAAAACATCGTTTTTCTCTTTAGGGCGCGAAAGGTGTTTACGTGAGACGACTGACTGTCGAAAATTATGCATCTCGTTATCCGGTTGGTTTCTTTTTTTTTTTTCTTTTTTTTTTTTTTTTTAATTTATACCTTTTATTTGTATTGCATTCTTGCATCCTTCGCTTCATCATTTCTTTGATGCAAACGTGAACACGAATCAATTGATTTTCGTAATTATCGTGGGCGCATATGGTATATTTTGGGACGACGCGTGGACTCGTGTGAGAAAACAGCTCTAGGTTTTTCGGTTAAAGTTCAACCTTTGTTCCGAATGTCTCGATTTTTATACAAAATCAATTCAAAGCTTCAAAATTTATGAGAAATATAAGATAAATTGTAATGTAAGGATTAAACAATTTTGTCTATTTCAGAAATGACGAAATGAGCAAAATTATTTAATTCATTCATATTATGTTATTTATCATCTATTCATATATTATCACTTATTTTTTTATAGAAT